TAATTTTAAGCTAGCTGAATAAGCAATATTTAGTTTAAAGGCATTTACAAGTCATATAACTTAATCATTTTAAATGAATGGTGTGAGTACAAGCAGCTTTTCTTCTTTTTTTTTTTTTAAGTATTTCTGATTAGGTAATGGGAAAGATCTGTACTCAACAGAATACATAGATAATATAATTTAAGTACTTAAGTCATACTAAGTTCAAGTTAAATTCTCTTATTTAAATTTTTTTTTTATTTTTATAAATGAAGGAACTAAAGTGGGAAAAGTTAATTGACTAACCTGTGATCACATAGCAAGTAAGTGGTGCAGCTGGAATTAGAATACAGACCTAAATTTAGTTCTGCCTTACTGCTTGGTATAAAACCCACTTTCTATTTCTCTTTTTTCCCACTTTCTGTTTTTTAAGGATCCAAGTTTACCTTTGAGATGGGCATTCTCTTTGTCTCTCATTGTAGGTGAGGTTGGTAAATAATAGAGCAAAGGGAGGCAGTATGTTCTAGGGCAGTGGTTTTCAAATGTTGGCATGTATCAAAATCACCTATAGGGCTTATTAAAACACAGATTGTGAGGCCCCCTATACCCAGAGCCTCTGATTTAGAAAATATGGAGTAGGCCTTGAGAATTTGCATTTCTAACAAATTCCCAGGTGATGCCAATGCTGCTGTCCCAGGGACCATACTTTGAGAACCACTCCTGGAAAGCCAGCAGAAGCTTTGGAGTCAGTCACCCCCAGGTCTACACTCTGGCTGTGTGACTGACTGCTGTGTGAACTAGAAGTGATATGCCTCAGTTTCTTGTACTTTGAAATGGGGATAATAATATTGACTTCACAGAGTCATTGTAAGAGTTGATGTGTTAATATTTTTTAAAAGTTTAGCATACTGCTTGGTACATAGTAAACATTCAATAGATGGTTTCTGTTGTTATTTAGAATAAAGCTTGGGGATCAATTAAATCTTTAGGAACCATAAATTCAGTTAAGAGTTTTAAAGTAGTTTCTCAGAAACTTTTTGTGACTTTGTAACTTCAAGATAGAGGCTAGGTGCAGTGGCTCATGCCTGTAATTGCAGCACTTTGGGAGGCCGAGGTGGGTGGATCATCTGAGGTCAGGAGTTCGCGATCAGCCTTGCCAACATAGTGAAACCCTGTCTCTACTAAAAATACAAAAAAAACTCACTGCAGGTGGTGAGTACCTGTAGTCCCAGCTACTCAGGAGGCTGAGGCAGGAGAATTGCTGAACCTGGGAGACGGAGGTTGCAGTGAGCCGAAATCGGGCTATTGCACTCCAGCCTGGGCGACAGAGCGAGACTCTGTCTCAAAAAAAAAAAAAAAAATGTTGTCAGGTGTTGTTAGGACACACACACACACACTCATGTATACAAACACATTCTCTTGACTTTTCTTCTTATTTATGGTAGACTTGGCAGAAGAGGAGAGCAGCAGAAGTGACAAAAACACATGGAAGAATATGGAAAAATTAGAACCCTCATATATAAGTGGTGAGAATGTAAAACGGTATAGCTACTTTGGAAAACAGTTTGGCAGTTCCTCAAAAAGTTAAACTTAGAGTTACCAAACGGACTCAGCGATTCTACTCCTAGTTATATAACCAAAATAATTGAAAACCTGTTAACACAGTAACTTGAACACAAATGTTCACTGAAGTATTATTCAAAACTGCCTGAAAGAAACAATCCAAATGTCCATCAATTCATGAATGGATAAACAAATGTGGCATATCTATACAATAGACTATCTATTCAGCTATAAAAAAGAAATAAAGTCCTGATACTTATTACAATGTGGTTATACCTGGAAACATACTGCTAAGTGATAAAAGGCAGACACAAAAGGCTACATATTGTATAATTCCATTTATATGAAATGACCAAAATAGGCAAATCTATACAGCTAGAAAGTAGATTAGTGGCTGCCAGGGGATGGGAAAAAAGGGTAACAGTGAGTGACTGCTAATGGTTATAGGGTTTCTTTTTGAGATGATGAAAATGTTTTAAAATTAGATAGTAGAGATGGTTGCACAGCCTTTTGAATATTCTAGAAAACACTGAATAGTATAATTTAAAACATTTTATGGCTTATGAGTTATATCTCAAAAAACCCGAAATGCACACCTATGTATGTGTGGACATGAAGCATGAATGAGTAATAAACCTTTTTTGTTATTACAAGTATTTGTGGGGAAGAGGAGGTGATTCATAGTGAGAAGACATTCTGTGAAGTATACTACCCTATTAGAGATTCTAGTATCCTAGAGAAGAGTGGATCTCAGGTTTTAGTATACATAGGAACCCCCTGGACCCCCCTGTTTGTTAAAACAGGTTCCTGGCCCCCACCCCAGAGGTTTTGGGTACAGCCTGAGAATTTGCATTTCTGATGTGCTTTCAGATGATCTGATTTTGTAAGATTGAGAACTAAACTTTGGGTAGCATCTTTATAGATTAGACATATCCTATACTTAAATGGGTGAATTTTATGACATGTGAAGTATATCTCAATAAAGATGCTAAAAAAGATGGGTATAAAGATAGTAAAATGTGAGTTTTAGTGGTTTGTTAATGGCAAGACAATGCTCTCTAAGGGAATTGGTTTAATAATTAATTTCTTCATTTGTAAAATGTGTCACTCTCCTGTGTATGTGCCACCTAGGGTTGTGGTGAAAATGGGGTTATGTGTTCTTTTCTAAATGGTGTTTTGTGGGTAAAATGTGTTGCCTTAAAAAAAAAAAAAAAAAAAAAAAAGGCCATGGCTAGATTGAAGCTTTTGTAATTAACCAAATGTTTTCTTATAGTGTAAAAACAGTATAGGCAGGGCGCAGTGGCTTATGCCTGTAATCTTAGCACTTTGGGAGGCCGAGGTGGGTGGATCACCTGAGGTCAGGAGTTCGACACCATTCCTGACCAACATGGAGAAACCCCCGTCTCTACTAAAAATACAAAATTAGTCAGGCATGATAGTGCATGCCTGTAATCCCAGCTGCTCGGGAGGCTGAGGCAGGAGAATCCCTTGAACCCAGGAGGCAGAGGTTGTGGTGAGCCGAGATCATACCGTTACACTCCAGCCTGGGCAACAAGCGCGAACTCCATCTCAAACAAACAAACAAACAAAAAACAGTATAAACTTTAAAATATTGTCTTCTGTCTTTTTAATTTTGGCTACAAAAACATTTCTCCCTTGATTTTCTTTAGTGATATATTTTAAGCATTATTTTTGACAAGTTGTAATCTATTTTTTCCCTTTCCTATGATTTTTTTGTTTTATTAAACCTCTTGAGATTAAATATATGATTGTGACATTTGGAATGCTTGTATATAGTGTTAAAACATCTTTTCATGACTTTACCATAATTATTTCTTTATTTCAGATGAGGTGGAGGACCATCCTGCTACAGTATTGCTTTCTCTTGATTACATGTCTACTTACTGCTCTTGAAGCTGTGCCTATAGACATAGACAAGACAAAAGTACAAAATATTCACCCTGTGGAAAGTGCAAAGATAGAACCACCAGTAAGTGAAATGAAGTGAAATAGGAGGAATTATAACTAGATGAAATGAATTATAATTATAAATAAATGAGGTAAAATGAGGTAAAATTATTATTAAATGAAATGGGAGGAATTATAATGAAAATATTGGTAATATTTATGACTTATAAAATTGTACACTTGGAAACTATTTCTGAAATAGCGAAAAGAGTATTGGACAAGCATATGCTGCTTACCCTTAGACAATATTTATTTAATATAGTTAGTATATTAAATAGGAGAATTAGTTGTAATACATTTCTGACACAGAGCTAACTAGCCAATAAAACACTGTATTATACTCAAAGCAGGGACAGATAACAATGGGGAGAAACCAAAATGGTAAAATCTTCATTGTCTGAACCATATAGAAAATCTACTGGACTACCGAGTGTCGTAAAAAAGAAAAATCTACCTTTAGGTAACAATAAAAGATGATATTGGTTCTGATATAAAACTATTTATTTCAGAAATACAGCTTTTTCACTTTGTTGAAACTATCATAGTAAGTGTGTCTCAATGCCATTTGCTAGAAATTGTTTCTCAGGATTGACCTCTTTAGATTCAAACAAGGAAAACCCTGCAGAAGCATTACTGTTGGTTTCTTAATTTGAAGGATACTGGACTTTATTATGATGAATATCTCAAGCAAGTGATTGATGTGCTGGAAACAGATAAACACTTCAGAGAAAAGCTCCAGAAAGCAGACATAGAGGAAATAAAGGTAAATGCAATTAAATAATATATACATATATGTGTCTTAATTTAAAATTTTTTTAGAGATGAGGTCTCACCGTATAACCCAGGCTGGCCTTGAGTTCCTGGGCTCTAGCCGTCCTCCCACCTCAGTCTCTCCAGTTGTTGGGACTACAGGCGTGTGCCACCACGCTCGGCTTAAATATTTAACAAACATTTGCACGTGCCAGACACTGAGCTAAGTACTAGAAATACAAAGATGAGATTTATTCCCAGCCCTTAAGGAATCCTCAAGGGAAAATCATATCCAGAAATAGATTATAGGATGGATTATATGATGAGTATTTAATCTAGAAATACAGATGACAGACACATAATCTAATATGAAGCAGTGGAGTGAGGTGGGAAGTTATTCTTCCTAATAGAGATTATGCCAGAGCTTAAAGATGTAGTGAGAAAAGGAGAGGGACTGGGAGGCATCCCAGACAAAGGTGCAATGGTACAGAGGCAAGAGGTATACGGGAAACTGGAAGCAGTAACTGTGGCTAGACCCCAGAGTGGGAAATGGAGGCCTGAGTGGCCAAAAGATGAGGTTTGGGAAGAGTCACAACCTCAATGACAGAGGGCCTATATATCATGTTAAGGGGTTTGGGTCATTATCTGAGAACAGCAGGAAGTTATTCAAAAGTTTGGAATAGGCGAGGTTCTGGTGTTTTAATCAGGTCCAGATTAACAGAAGAAATAATGGGCTATGTATTATATCAATCAGAGAGGTTTAACCATTTGACTCTGTCCTAAGTACCCTATTTGACATAATTCTAGCCATAGTCAGCTCTTTGGTACTCATAATAAGAAAGGGGGTTGTAGAGATCTGACATGAGAGATTCTTGTAAAGTCTTTCCTTAAAAGGAAATGAATCAGCTTAGCTGGGTTTATCTTAGACTCAGTGAGTAAAAAAAAATCCAGTTAATTTTAAAATTTCAATAATGTCTCCTAAGATAATTTTGTTTGCTTATGTTACCTTTATTTATTTAATTTTTACTTTCTTAAAAACTTACATTGCCTTTTTTCTAGAATCAGAATAAGAATTGTGTTTGAAAGACTCATTCTGGGTCAAACAAACCTTTTATTTTAAGTTTCTGATCTTGGTGTGAACTTCTTTGAAAGACTGACTCCCGTTAGGTTGTGGTGTCTGTCAGTGCTCAGGTGTGGCATTTAGTTCACAGCTCTCCTCTTTGAAGTTGTGAACTTTTCTGGGGAAAAGGTAATAGTGTTATGCTAATAGTTCCCAGGAATTGTCTATGAAGATAACCTTACTTTTCTTCTCAAGGATTCATTCGATCTGTGGAACAAGTTTCCTATGCTGAATATATCTGATATAGAACTCTTAATGTCTTTGTATCAGGAGTAAAAGCATTATTTGGGGTAACATAGAAAATGTGGATCATGGGAGATACTACATAGAGATATTCAGGCAAAAGAAGAAAATATGCTTCCTAGATTGGTGCAGGGAATATTTTTATAACTCTCTTCCTTTCACATTCAATTCCTGTTTCTGTGAATGGTTAGGGGGAACCAAAATGAAGTTAAACAGTTACACAATAAAAAAGAAATGAGGGGCTGGGTGCAGTGGCTCAAGCCTGTAATCTCAGCAGTTTGGGAGGCTGAGGCAGGTGGATCTTGAGGTCAGGAGTTCAAGACTAGCCTGGCCAAGATGATGAAACCCTGTCTCCACTAAAAATAGAAAAATTAGCCAGGTGTGGTGGCACACAGCTGTAATCCCAGCCACTCGGGAGGCTGAGGCAGGAGAATTGCTTGAACCTGGGCAGCAGAGGTTGCAGTGAGCCAAGATTGTGTCACTGCACTCCAGCCTGGGCAATAGAGTGAGACTTTGTCTTAAAAAAAA